CTGTCCCCCTGCCTTTTTGGGTCCCAGTGCATTTTCTTTAAGGTTTGTCTTCTCTGGGATGATGACACCATCTGTTTCTTCCATGCTTCAGACCTGCACATCCAGCATGGTCCCTGCATCCCTGGGTTTTGTGGACCAGGTGAGGGTGGACCACTGACTTCTGTCTCTTTCAAACAACCCTATTGTGTGTCGGACCTCCATGTATAGTTTTTCTTTGTTTGGGTTTAGTTTGTTTTATTTTTGAAAAATCATTTTTTGAAGCAGGGCCTCATTGTGTAGCACAGGCCATCTGGAATTTGCAACAATTCTGCCCTGGCCCCTCAAATGCTGTGATTCCTGGCGTGAGCCCCCATACCCAGCTTCTCCATATAAGATTGTATTTGAGGGCCAAGAAGATGGCCCATCAGGTAAAGACACCTGTGTGCAAACCTGGTGACCAGAGTTTGATCTCTAGAACCCACGTAAAGGTGGAAGGCGAGAGCAAACTCGTCCTCTGACCTCTACACCCACACAACACCCACACACACCACACTAATGAAAATGTTCTGTTTAATTTTGAAAAAAAAAAAAAAAACAAAGATTCTATTTGATAAGCATGATCTCTGTGGGGAAGGACTGGAAGGAAGAGTGGTCGTGTCAGCCTGCAGTTTGGACACATAGTCTAGACACAGAAACTCTTGCACATACAGTAGCCCCTGCTGACAGCAGTGTGACACTTCCAGCTTCACTTTGTGGCTTTTGTTATCAAGGTGAAAATGGAGTTGACATGATATAGTTAGCTGTGATTGTGGGTGCCATTCATTAACACTGTGTGCATTCACAGCGGAGCAGTCACACTGTGGTACCTCCTTCAGAACATTTTCATTATCTGAGGAAAACACCTCATGTCTGTCAAGCAGTGGTTGTCCATCACCCTCACTGCTTCCTCTGATGCCAGTCTGCTGCTTGCCACTCTGGGCTAGCCTGGAGACTTTCTACAAAAGGAATCCTACAGTGTATTTGTTTGCCTGCTTATTTGAAATAGAGTAGCCTAGGCTATCCCTGAACCAAAGATTTACTGAAAATGATCTTGAATTTCTGACCATCCTGTCTTCACCTCCCCAGGCTGGAATTACAGGCATGTATCACCATCATTATGCTTATTTTTGTTGTGCTATCGTTCTTGTTTTAAGGTTTCATGTAGCTCAGGCTAGCCTTGAGCTTCTACCTCCCCAGTGTTGGTATTACAGAAATCTGCCATCAAGCTCAGTTCTGACTTTTTATGGTGGGAGGTGTCAAACATGTTTAAGCACTATATATAGGGGTCAGCTCCTGCTCCTCACCCAGACCCAGAGTTAGCAGATCTAGTTACTTTGTAGCCTACAAAGTTTCACCTGGGCATACACTGATCACCATGGGCAGTACAGAGAGGAATCCTGAGATTGAGGTGCTATGTTTCCTATTCACAGTAGGTGGTGCCATTGATCTAATTTTCCCTCTCTCCTAGGCTGTTGATCTGGTCTCCTGGCAGATTTGGAACACCAACTTCTGTCCAGCTCAGCCATGCCCAGACAGACTCTCCCTTGCGGGCTCCCTGCCAGCTTCCTTGCAATAAAGTCAAGCTGCATTTGTTGAAGAAGTGTCTATTGCGTGTTCTTGGTACTGCTGGCTCACCTACAAGCTGCTGTTGTGTTTGCCTATGTTTCTAGAACCTCCCACTGGCAGTCAGGTGCCCATCTCTTGTCCACTCTCTGCTGTGTGATCTTGAGCAGCCCACTGCCCTCTTTGGGCCTTTCTGTAATGGGAATATCATTAGACCAGATCAATGATTTTCTTTCTTCTCACTACATAGACTCCATATTTGAAAAGCTATTAAGTGACTTGCATTTAAGAAATGAAACTCTGAAACAATAAGATGGGAAGCTGCTGAAAAAAGGCTGCCCCAGCAGGGTTCAGCTCTAGTAACTCCTAGCTGGTCTACTTAACCTCTCAGCACTCAAAGCCTGAGAGAAAACCACACTTTTGGCAAATGATTGTGATGGTTGTGACAAAATGAACAAATTAGTGTGAACTATTTGGAGTAGAGAAATCCTCCGGCAAGCATCCACTACTTACTTTTATGTATTTCATGGATGGAGGCATGGCAACCCCTTAAAGGGCAGTGCCTTTACAGAGCTGCTTGGTGAAGCAAAGGACTGTTCTGGTTTGTGTAGCTTTAAGAAAAACAGGGAGGTATTACTGTTCCCTGCTGTGAGGCAGGGAACCAGAGAGATGCCAAGATGGACCCCAAGACCATGCAGGACACACTTGGTGTCTGATATGTCCTTGAATATTCTAGACAAATTTCAGAACATGGGGAGAATTGATCTGAACAAAGTCATTGCCTCATGACCTAGACCTGGGTGGGGGAGCTGGAAAAAGGAAACCACACCTCACAAAAGACGTGGCATCTTTTTGCCAAGCTACACTGACCAGAATTCCAGTAACTTAAGCCAGAAGAAAACCAAGTGGCTTTCTTCAAGTGACCATTGTGCATAGGCAGGTTTGTAACATGTTTGTTTCACTTGCTTTTATAAGACAGGGCATCACTGTGGCCTGGAACTCAGAAGCACCTCTGCCTCCCAAGTGCTTGGATTAATGACATGTACCACCATGCCCAAACCTTAAGATTTATTTATGAGTATGTATGTATCTTTGAGTGTGTGTAGGTACCTGAGGACACCAGAAGAGGACATTAGATCTCTTGGAGATAAAGGCAGTTGTGAGATCCCTAAGGTGGGTAAAGGAAGCTAAATGTGAATACCCTGGCATTTACTGGGCACTCAATTCTGCTGGACCTGGAACAAGATTAGCTCAGTCCTTAGCCAGCCATGACCTTGGACTAGTCAGTTAATCTCTCCTGTGGAAAGTTTTTTCATCTGGACAATCACAATGCTTTCACTCTAGGGAGCTTGGTAGCCAGAACCAAGACATCCTTTCACTCCTTAGCAGAGGCACTAGCCTAATGTGCTGAAACACAACCATGATACAGCACTCCCACAGTGAAGACAAAGGATCTGAGTGCAGGGCAGGCCTCAGATACAGAGTTTAAGGCTGCCTACCAAGTGTCAGGCCTTTGTGGTCCCTTAGGGCCCAAGGGCCTCTTCTTCCCAAGCCTCCTGTAGGTGTTTTTTAACCACTAGATGGCAGTATGCCTTGGATTTGGTCATCCTGAAGGACAAAATTAAGGAAGCACTGATCCCAACTAGAACAGAAGAGGCAAAGATCCCTCCAAGGAGTCCCTAGCCCTAAGATGCACCCCTATCTCAAGCCTGGTGTGTTTCCAATGAACTAGGCAGCCTGGACCAGCTCACCTCAAAACGGAACCCAAGTTTAATATCTTGTGTCTTCCTCAATTGTCATTTGAGACAGGGTCTCTACTGAACCTGGAGCTTGACAACTCCAGCTAGAGTGTCTAGCCAGTGATCGTCCACCTTGCTACCTTTCGTTTGGTTTGGATTTTTTTTTTTTTTTTGAGACATGATGTTGCTGTGCAGATGGTCTCAACATATCCCCAGTTGCTGTTTTTTAAGATTTATTTTTTTAAGTGGGTGTATATGTGTTTCGGTCTGTTTGTCTGTGGATATGTGCCTTGAGTGCAGGTCACCTTAGAAGCCAGAGGCATTGGATCCCCTGGAGTTGGAGTTACAGGCAGTTGTGAGCCACCTGATGTGGGTACTGGGGATTGAACTCAAGTCCTTTGAAAGAGCAATGTGATCCCTTTAACCACTGAGCCATCTCTAGCCCCTGTTTATTGTGTTTTTGAGACATAGTCAAGGAGCACACTAAGTGGTCAAAGATGGCCTTAAATTTATGGACCTCCTGTCCCACGTGCTGGAATTGCAAGCATGCCCCACCATGCCTGGCTTATGCAATGCTGGGGATCAAACCTAGAACTTTGTGCATTCCAACCTAACCCCAGCCTTAGTGCAGGTTCCAATTTTTCAAAACTGCTCACTGTTGCCACCAAGTTTTCCCAAGGGCATAGGGAGACTCCTGTAGAATAGACCTCTGAGTCTGGAGAGAGAGTTCAGGGGTTAAGAGCACTGCTCTTCCAGAGGTCCTGAGTTCAATTCCCAGCACCCAACCACATGGTGGCTCACAACTATCTCTAGTAGTATCTGATGCCCTCTTCTGCCATAAAGGTGTACATGCAGATGGAGCACTATATGTGTGTGTGTGTGTGTGTGTGTATATAATGAAAAAAATCTTTTAAAAATATAGACTAGACCCTTCCAATCTGATGCACACACAACATGCAAGGCAAAGCAAACCACCAAACCAGGGCCTTGCACATGCAAGACAAGCACTACCACTAAACTGCTTCCCTAGCCCTGTTTGTGCATATGTATGTATTGCTTATATGTGTAGTTAAGCATGCCTGTGAGAGCATGAGGTCAGAGGAGGGGGGTCAAGTATCCTGCTGTATCACTCTATGCTTTTTCTCTTGTGACAGAGCTAAAATCTCACTGATTTTAGAGCTAGGCCGGCAGCCAGCAAGCCTAAACTACCCTGTCTGCACCTCCCATAGCACTAAGGATACAGCTGCATGCAACCATACCTGGCTTTTTATATGAGTGCTGGGATTCTAACTCAGGTTCTCCTGCTTGTGCAGCAAGCACCCTTACCCATGGAACCATCTCTCCAGCCCCGAATGTTTGCTTTTTAAGGAAGAATCTCACTGTAGCTCAGGTTGGCCTCCCAATTCAAGATTCTTTTGTCTCATCCTCCTGTGCTGGGATTATAGATGTGTGCCACTGCACCCAGCTTCGATTCAGTTTTATGGATTGGCTTTCCACCTGCAGCCAGTGTGTTTTGGACTTCAGCATTCACATTCTTCTCCTGCTACTGGGAGGTTGTGGCCCGTGGAAGGTGATGGTTTCTCCTGTGAAATTGTTTCCTCATCTGTATTGCTCATCATGGCTCCTGGGACAGTGAGGATTACCCATGATTCTTCATAATGTCAGTTCTACAAGGAGAGCATTGTCTTTCAGTTGGAAAACTAAAGGTTGATAATGAGGGGAGGGAGAGAGAGAGAGAATGAAGAGAATGAAAAAAAAAAAAAAACAGTGGAGACTGGAGGGTTGTGCCTGTGCCATGTGGGAGGGGATCAGTCATTTGGGCCACCACCCTCTTCATGACATCTTTAATTAGTGCCCATCTCTTACACAGCCCAAGTCTGTTATTTCTTGGGAGTGTCCATCAGGGCTGCTTTTAGAATTTTGTGTTTTTGGTAGCTATGTCCACTTAGTTTATATAAATGAATCAAGATTACTTAATCTGTTGGCTTAAACTTTATCTGCGTGTGTGTGTGTATGTGTGTGTGTGTGTGTGTGTGTGTGTGTGTGTGTGTGTGTCCTGCTCTGGACAGCTTGGGAGAGGCTCCTGTGTAAAGTCCACCCTTTCCTTCAGCCTTCCTCATGCCTAGGGCTAGTGAATTGCAGCACATGGGGCATTAACCTAGCTCTTCCCAGTGGTGGTGCCACAGGGGGAGTCCTTCCTTTCTCCTCTCTGCCACCCTCTCTAGCTTCTGTCCCCATAAATACCATTCCCCATAAACATCCCAGATCAAACAACCTTGTATTAATGGAGCCTCTGGCCAATATTTTCTTTCTCGGTGCCATTACTTGTTTGTGACAGGATCTCAAGTACTCCAAGCTGGCTTTGAATTTGCTTTATAGCTAAAGATAACCTTGAACTCCTGATCTCTGCATCTTCACCTCCTGATTGCTGGAATTACATGTTTGTGCCACCATGCCCAGTCTCCTGGATGCCTGTTTAATAAAGGAAGCTGAGAAAAGGTGGGAGAGGCCAAGGGGGACTGGACCACACCTATCCTACCCCAGTTTGCAGGATCTGGATGTGGCTGGGTGAGAACACACAGAACCCAGGGAATTGTAACACACTCAAGAAGGGGTCATAGTGGGGGTTCCCTGTCTATCTCATCTGGCACTGTGGTTACAGGTGGAGCAGATAACCCCCAAAAGTCCCCAGCTTTGTAGGTATTCTACCAAACCAGCTTCTGGGTTCCATACTTGAGAGCACATTCGCACATCTTTCTACTGCAAGATCATTGACATCCCACTCTGGGCCTGCCTCCTCCTCTGCCCTTAGTCCAGGCTCAATCTGGAAATAGCCCTCCCAGAGGCAGCTGTTTGTGGTCACATGACTACCATTTTACCTAAACAGAAGCTGTGGTCCTCATGCATGCCCAGTAATTAGAGGGCCACAAAGCCGGAGATGGCAAGGGACAGCAGGAAGGAGAGGTTGGAAGACTAGGAGATGAGCAGCCTGAAGCCCGTAGAGTGCCACACCCCTCTGTGGGACCAAGACCCTCCCAATGCCACCTCAGCTTCTGCCTCTGCTGCAGGCCCAACCTCCTGTGGTGGCAAGTGCTTCAGGCCTTCTGGACCTGGACAGAGCTGCACTGAACCAGTAGCTTCCCCAGTCTGCCTTCTTGCTCTCCCAGTTCCTACTGGGGTACATGCTACCTCTTCTCATTGATGTTCTGGCAGTTTGACACTGGATCTCATGTAGCTCAGGCTGGCCTAGAATTTCTGATCCTTCTGCCTCCATGTCCTGAGTATTTGGGATCGA